CGGAGGAGCCCCACGCCCCTCCCAGCGGCGTCCCCCAGTTTCCTCACTTGAATAGTTAAATTTTTTAACTGAGATTGCATAGGGATTAGTTGCTCAGCATTTAGATCAGACTGTGAAGAATATTTATACTACTCTTTGAAGGGTTTGAACAGGAAAATGATGCTTGCTCTATCTTTTAAACGATTGCAGCGTAAATTGAGCCTTTTAGCCCAGCCCCCTAGCTAGTGGACAGCGACCTAGAAAACATCGCACTGCTATTTTTTCTCCCTTGTGACTGTCACCTTCACCTCTCTGAAGCACCGTGAAGGACTGCGCACTCTGATTCCATTTTTTGGAGCCCCTGCTAAAGCTTTGCTGCAAAATATCAGCTGCCAGCATGTGGCTGTGTGTCGTGATTTACCAGTGGGTGAGGCTACAGGTAGTATTAACTAAAATCTGAAGACTAAGTTATTAAAGAGTGTGCGCAGTGCAGTGGTCCAGAGGGTGGGCTCTCGGAAGGTGTAGATTAAAACTCTCCTGCTGCCACTCACCAGGTGAAGGATGTGGACTCGCGGTGGGGACAACGCACTTAGCAAGGCGAGCCTGACCTGAGGGCTGAGCGGTTGTGGCGAGAAGGAAAACCCTGAACGCAGCTGGCCAGCCACAGAGTTCTTTGAATTTGAGCGTGTCATTGAAAAGTCTGTGTGAGTCTTGCATTCTTTTTCATAATAAATTTCTACTTGTTTAACAAGAAAAATGTTTTTTAAGTTGGAAGAGGGGTTTAGCTTGGATGGTGCTAATTGTCTCAGATTTTCTGTGAATGATTTCCCCGAGAAGTCACTCTGTGTTTATGCTACGGCTTCAAGCACTGCTTTGTCCACATACTTTTATGGTATGAAAGCATGTCAACAGATTAAGGAAATTACCAGGAATGTAAATATAAAGTCTCAACAGAGCTGAGGCTTTTCATTATGCCTCTGTCGCTGCTTTACTACGTCCACGCCAGGAATACAACAGCCTAGATAATGTTTTTAAAACCTAGCTCAACAACGCTACAAAATGAGCTCCTCCCCCGCCCCCCTCGGCACCCCTAAGTCCAGGCTGTCCATCCTTGCGGCTGGCTCGCAGAAACCCCTGCAAGCGTGCTGGCCTCTCCCTTCTTCTTGTCTCCCCAAATACGTTCTCTTTCCTCACAGAGCTCACCTTAAGCACATCAGTCTTTCTAGCCTTGCTTTTCCTTTTTACTTATTTCCTGTAATCAGCAGTTCATTTTAATAGTTCATTATTTCTTGCCCACAGTATTGTCAAGTTAGGAAGCAGCACACTACATGTGTTCGCTTTCTCCTTTCATTCGGTACAGGAAGTATCCTCTTTTTAGAATTTTTTAAAAATTAATTTTATTGAGAAACAGCAATGAGACAGTTTCAAAACTGATTAGTAGGACAGTTTCAATAATTAGTACATTGCATATTGTTGTCTTCATAGTGGTTATTCATAGTACAAGACGCATCTGTATATACAAAATAGTTAAGATAGATATACATCCTCCTTGTTTTCCTTATCAACTAGGAAATGAATGACCGATACCCAAGACAGGCTTCCTGGGACCATCTAGTGCTGATCTCTGCAGCCTCACCTTTCCTTCCTGCCTCCAGTGGTCCATCCCTGCCCCCAGGGTGACCTGTCTGCTCCTGAGAGCCCATGGCCACGCCATCTGCGGGCCTCCGAGGCAACCACCCCCACTACCACTGCTGTTTCCATATTGCTAAACCTCGAAAGCTTTCTCTTCCACAAATCCTTCCCTGATCATTCCAGGTAATTATATAGGATTTATTCACTTTTATTTGTTCATAGAATAGATCAATATCAAGTGATAGATTAATGTTGGCGATTCAGCAAAGACTAGCACTGGATCGGTCCTATCATGAAGGCTATAATATAACAGCGAAATTGATGCTAATTTCAGTTGTGAGTTTTCAGGGTCCCTGGGGGGGTTAGTATGGTCCGAATCAAGTGCAGCCTCCCTCCTCACAGAGGCAGACTTAGACAGCTCTGGAGAATGAGGTAGAGCTAGCGAAGTGGGGTGTGAGGAGACTGGGGTGTGGGGAGCAGGCAGGGGGCACTGCATGTAAAGGTCCTGAGATGGGAGGGAATGAGCATCTCAAATCCCAAAGGGCGGCCACTGTGGCAGCGAGGCTGGATGTGGTGTGAATGATGGAGCGAGGGAAGCTGAGGCATTAGCCAAGCAGCAACGGCCAGCCAGGGCTTGCAGATGGGTCGGGTCTAAGGCGAGAAGGCCCAGAAAGGCGGGGGAAGCGTGGAGGAAACAGGAGGCTAGAGCCCGTTTCTGAGCTTGAAAAGATGTTGCAGGTGTGCTGGCTAGCTGTGGAGTCGACCTGCACAAGCAGGGCCTGCGGATAGGCTAGCACTGTTCTGGCTGGGTCTGGATGACTATTCACCGAGGCGGGGAGACACACCCCTGGTGTGAGCAGCGCCTGGTGGCATAGGACTGGAGACAGCATAAAGTAAACCTTAAAGAGAAAAAAAGAAAGGAAGAGACACACCGAGCTGAAGATTCCACCCTTCCGGGCCGCTTGCTCAACTCCTGTCAGCATCCATACCTGAGCGCACTAGGGGAACAGATTTAACATAATGAAAATATGCAACAGATAAAGGATTATAAGGTAGGCTCACAACGAGCCTCCACAGGGGCAGGTGTGGGAGGAGGCACCAGGGACACCTGCGCCTGAGAGAGCGGGTTTCGCTCATGAGAACAAGTACTTTCCCAAAGCAACCGTGAAGATGATGCTAATCGCCTAGACAAGTGGCATCCGGCTCCTCTCACCTGCCGCGCCTCTTGAGCACACTTGTAGTTTCCTCCACCATAAACTGCGCTGAATCTCGTGAAGACACTCATTTTCTTTCAGTAACCACATGTAGACATGGTGAGGACGATATTATTGTTCAGTTAGATGCTAGATAAACTCACCTGTGTTTATTTTCAACCTTGTTTCAAAAAATTAATTACAAGAAGTCACCCTTATGGCCGAGACCCAAAGTTTGTAGGGAAGGCTACTAAAAGTAACTCTTACAAACTGTTAGTGACCATTTATGTCTTCCTGCGTTCTCCCTCGAGGGACCTCCTAATGGCGATGACTCTAAAAGACTGTGGTGCCCGTCACAATGGAAAAGCCAAGAGATCCGCGGCAATCCCTCCTGGAGAAGCTGTTGAAGATCGCGCCATGGAGCGCATGAATCTTGGGATCCCCAACAACTGTGGCTTGGAGTAGGACGGGGCGCACGTCTTTCGGTCATTATCGTCTCGTTGGAGGTTCAGTGATTTTTATTTTTCTATTTTAGGAAAAACTTTGTACTGTGTGAATAATGTAAGCCCAGCACGTGCTAGGACAGACTTCGTCACGTGCTTCGCCCACGCTGGCCCTTCAGCCATGCGCGCTCTCTAGGACTCTGGTGTGCGTGTCTCAGGGAGAGCAACCCTCGCCTTCCGCGCACCGGGTGGCGTAATCGCAGACGCTTGTGCTCTACCTGGGATTAAGGGAGAGCTGCGCTCGCAGAGCGACTGCTGCGCTAGCGACAGGTGCCCTGCAGCCTCACGGTCGCTGAGGGGGTGTCCCCACACAAGCAGGATCTAGGCGTCAGCTTCGCGAGTTAAGAGACTCAGTTGATCTACTAGGTAAATAGTCATTTACATCCCAAACACTATGTTCTAGGCATCATAACTCTCTGAATTTATCTTTCTATAATTTTGAATAAATAATATGGCATCGTATGTAAAAGAACCAACCACATTAACAGATTTGTTATAGAGAATTATAGCAAAGCCATGTCTAAGCCCTCCAAGAATGTGGGGTAGAGAAAGAGCAGACCAGAATCATGGAGGGCTCGCTCCTGCTATGTTTCTGCTGCTATTGCCTGCGTATGTTTGAAGCTGTTCACATTCTCTGGGGCTGACCAAGGCAGGGAGAGGCAGAGAGACCACCGAGTGTTTTGGGGTTGTGACACGGAGCTTGTACACATTTCCCCTCACGTACCTTACTCAGTCGGCCTGAGCGAGCCAGAGAGGAGGCTGCGACACACGGTCCTGAGCTTAGCACGTTCTCTTGTTCCGAAGCTGGGCTGTCGGAGGCCCCGAGGGTGTTGCTGCTGTCCTCACTGGTCGGGGAACCAAACGCTCCCGCAGAGCCCTTCTCCCTGCCCCGGCCCAGCAGGCGCCTGCCGCAGCGAGGCGAGACGCGGTCGCACGTCTACTCCTAGCTGCAAAGAAGCTGGAGAAGCAGGAAACAGAACTGGCTTCCCGGCCCATGACGAAAAGCTCTCACGCTTTCTCGGCTCGCAGCTCCCTTGGGGGGGTCTCAGGAACTTTTTCATAACGCGCGCGCACACACGAAGTTTAATTTGCAACTTAATGGCCGCTTAAAAGTACATACATTGAAAGAAAAGGAGCACGTCGTCTGGTCTTGCATACCCACAGTTCGCAGTAGGATGCACACGCATCGCCGCTGGCCGCCCTGCACCCTCCAGCCTCGGAGCCAGCCTGGGCAGGGCCACCCCCGCTTCTCGCTCGCTCGCTCGCTCGCTGGCTCTCGTCGCGGCCGCCCCGGACACCGCAGGGCAGGGCAGGTCGGAGTCTGCAGGAGCTGACGCAGCGCTGGGAGCTCGCGCCGGAGGAGGAACGGCTCGAGCTGGGGCGCGCCTGCCGGGGAGCCTGCGAGCGGACTCACACTAGCGCAGCTCCCGGTCCTGGGCCGGACACCCCGCTTCCCGAGGAGGAGATTGACGCTCTGGGGACTGAGAAAGTCCTGACACCAAATCGGGCACCTTGGAACGTCCTCTGCTGGGTGCTAACCGGGAGGAGGAGACCTCTGGGAAACCGCCCTCGGAACCGGCCTGCAGCTCTCTCAGCCCTTTTTCTTGTCAGAAGCAGAAGTTTTTCTTCCCTCAAACGAGCCAGAAAAACCATCTCCTGCAAACCCGACAGTGAAACCTAAAACCTCTCCCTCCTCATCCCGTTGAAGGCCCTCCCTTCAGGGCCTGCCCCACACCCGAGGCCCAGACCGCGCAAGGCACAGGAAGAGCCCCTGCGAGCCCTGCGGGCTCCCTCGCTGTCGCTGTCGCTGCGGTGCTGCCCTCGGGTCCCCCGTCACCCCAGCACACAGTCAGACAGAGCTCTGTGGTCTGCCTTTAGTCCTCAAGACTCAGGCAAAATTCTGGTTAGATAAATCTGTGTCCTTTTTGCTTGTTGTTGCAGGATGCTGGCCGTGATGCGTGCGCGCGAGGAAACATCCCTGGCTCACTGCGCTTCCACCTGCGTTCAGAGCGGAAGAAGAGAGCAAGAAAATAACGTAGGAAAGTACTTCTGCCAGTCTGCCCCGACTAGACTACCTGCTCTGGTTCCTACGGGTTTGTGGTGCTCAGTGCAGAAAGCTCTTATTTTCCCTAGCCCCAGTACTGTAAACAAACTATTCTTCCAAAGCTGTGAGGGAATCTCGCTGAGGCGCTCAGCGCCTGGGCGGGCTGGACCTGCAACTGCCTGCCTTCTCCCCCAGGTTTAGGGTTCCGGGCGTGCACCAGTGGACCTGCCTATTACGCGCTCTTTAGTACTGGCTTGGCTACAGCACAGTGCATGGTACTTAGAGCGCAGTTCATATTTACTAAACAGACGAAGAAACAAAGATTATATGGTTAACTGAAATTGATTAATTGCACAGACTGTCAAATTATAGAAATTCAAGAACCTAGGCAATGTCTGTCTTGTTGTTTTACTGCCCGACGCTTATTGTAGGAGACAGAAACACTTTAGTTGGAAGTCTTAGTGAGAGTTGTGCTTTCTCCAAACACCATTATAAAGGAGTTTCATCACACTGATATCGCAAATTCTTATTAATGAACTCTAAATGTAATGTCTGCACTGGCTGTCAAGAAAGAAAAATAGCCTCCCTCTCATGCAATCTCACTAGGGATCCAAGCCTTGCTTTTTAATCGCAATAGTCACCGCTAGAAAAACTGATGTAAAGAGAAAAGCAAAAAGGTTTTAGAGATAGGGAAAAGATTGTTTCTACAGTCAGCTAAACTGTTTCATAATTATAGATCATTATATAAAGTTCCAAAAGTGATTTTTAAAAGAGACCTCCAACATTTTTTTAATTATTGTAGACATTTTAGCAAAATTTGTCTTTCTGCTTTTTCTTGCTCTTACATCAAATTTACTTTTCTGTGTGTGTGGGTTTTTTTTAATGATTTTTGCAATATGGAAAACTGTTCAAGATCTTTGCCTTTATTTTCTTAGGTTTAATACTTATACTGTATTCTGTAGGAGGGTATACTGGCATGTTAGGTTGTGTCCATGCCTAAAAACTGCTTATGGCTTTTTGCTTACTCTTGTAATATATTTAGAAAAATATTCACATATCTATCTATTTTCATATCAAAAGTATTCAATGCCCTGGGCATTCATAATTTTTTCTAAAAATGCTTTTGTTATGAATGTCCAGGGCGTCAAGCATGGCCTGGCACTGAGTAGACACTCAGCACACGCTTTTTGCGTCAGTAACTCTTCTTACTGCTTCTCACAAGCACAGTGCTGTGCCCACAGGGAGCACTCACGCGTGCGTTTATTTTTATTTTTTATTTATTTTTTTTTGGTGGAACAGGGGATTGAACTCAGGCCCTTGCGCTTGTCAGGGAAGTGCTTATTCCACTGAGCCATCTCCCCAGCCCCTCGTGTGTTTATTTTGTGAGAGCCCGATTTTTGCTTTAATTCCTGCAGTATTTCAGAAAACTAGAGAAAATTAGGACTTATTCTCCCTTCTGTAGGAATAGAAAAATACAGTTATTTTTAATGATTAATATAAAACCTTAAATCTGTAATATGTAAGAAATAGTTTTAAATGGCTTCAGGGCATTTTATTGAACATGTTCATTCTACTTTTGTTGCTTTTTACTTAGAACAGAGTGGCACCTTCTAGGCTCTTTACAAGATAAATGGGAAGTAAAGTCAATTTACTAATTTTCAAGACTAAAAAGACAATAATGTTTAAAAAGCGGCTTTATTTTACTTTCTGACATATTTCTCAGCCTGTTCTTCCCCACCTATTCAAGAAAAGAGCTTCTAACTGCAAACTGATTAAAGCGCCCCTTGTAGCAAGGGCTGAGGCAGGCCCCCTCGGCGCGGCGCGCAGGCTGCGGTCCTCGGAGGAGCGCGCCGCCAGCCCCCCTCAGTCCGGGCACCCGCATCACGGCTTCCGCTGCATGGTCACCAACCGCTTAGACCAGGCATTTGAGCACAGATCTGTCGCCTTCGAGGTGCTGGACGCAGGGAAGAACGAGAAAAAAGAAGCTGGCGGGTGCTGCGTTGGGGGCCCGGGCCGCATCGCCAGAAGGGGCGTGAGACCCCGCTGCCCCCCAGCTTGGGCGAGTGGATGAGAAAGAGGAGGCGCGGTGCTGAGGAAGCGGGGACTAAGACGCGCTGCGAGGGGACCTGGGCAGCAGCTGCGGGGAGAAGGGACGATAAGGGCCAGGAGCGCAACCGCCTCGTGCAAGATTTGGCAAGCCACTTGAGGAGAAGGACGAGGGGGGATTTTCAGCTGACAGACCCTTGAATGACCGGCCTACCCAAGGGCGTGGTGGCCGTGGCCATGGCCGTGGGAGAGGCTGAGGTGGCCGTGGCCGTGAGCAGAGGGGATGGGTTGCGTGTTCGTGGCAAGCGAGAACTTGATAGACAGCAGAAGAGACAGATCTGGCCGGAAGCGTGAGAACTAAGGAGGAGGCAGCGCGTCTCACGACCCGGGAACTGCCAAAGATGAGTGAACCGACTTGGGCCAATCAAGCGTGACTGAAGAGACACCTCCCTATGGCAGACAATGAGAACAAAGAGGCCGAAGTTGAAGAGGTTAGGGAAGAGGGCCCCAGAGAGAGGACGGGGCGAGTGGAAGGCAGTCTGAAAAAAGACTGGCAAAAGCAGAATATCAGGAAACGAAAGGAAGGTGCTGATGGGCAGTGGAAGAAGGGATTTGATCTTCATAAATCAAAGAACAGAGAGGCTCACACTGAAGAATGTGATGGGCCACTACTTCTAGAGGCCTGACAGGGTGGCAGGGGAATGCGAGGTGGACGTGGGTGTGGGGGCATGGGGTGGGGGTACTACTGTTCACCATTCCCTGTGGTAAGACAACACTGTTGAAAGCTAAAAGCAAAACGTTTTTTATCTTCAGGGTAGAGAGGGATAGAAAAGAAATAGTCTTTTAACTCAATCACCATCAGGGAAAAATATAAAGGGGTAGCTACAGGACCAGGCAGTCCATATTATAGAGCTCCCATATGCTCCACGGTGTGGCTGACTGCGCGCAAGTCCTGTAGCAATCCCCATCTTCCTGACTTTTTTTTTAATTATAAAAATTGGGGTATATGAAGGGCCGCTGGTGTGTTCTAGGTGCCCCGCCGTCATCTGTTCATTAGCCGGTGAATGGGCTGCTGTTGTCTTCTCCTGAGTGAGAGCCACTGATCAACCCAGACAGGATCATCAGACACCTAAGTTACCTTGCATGCCCTCCGTGGGGTCGGAGAAGAGATCAAGGCCCCTCCTGAGAATGTGAGGGTGAGCAGCCTATGCCAAAATGGGCCTTTAGGGAATAACTGGAAAAGGTTCTTTCCTCCCTAGATTGGTTTCACCAAGCCCTTGAGTAAGAAGGAGACCTTGTTGCAGCATCTGCTGAGGCAGCAGGGAGTTAGGACTGGCCAGAAATGCTCCCATCCCTTGTAGTATATCATGACCCCATAGACCGACTGGTATATGGGGGAGGACATAGGAGAGAAATATCCAGAATGGCCTTCTGCATCCTCCAAGTTAACAACTTAGCGTTCTGCTAGGGTAAGAAACCTTGCTCAAGCCTTGTAAATCTGTAGCAGGCTGATGGTGCTGAGCAAGAACTGAAATGTCTGTGCCTGTGTCTGATAGCCCTTTAAATACTTTTCCTTTAATAGTCACCTCCATCTTGGGATGATTTTCTCTAATCTGTTCAACCCAATAGGTGTCAGGAGATCTAAAACCCTTGGATGACTTTCCCTTATTTGTAAGTTTTTCAATTTTGCCAAGGGAAAAATGACCAACGGAGCAACAGGAGTATCTGGGGTGATTTGAGCAGTGCTTTGGGTAGACTGAATAATAGTCTTGATTTTAGCACCGATGACACCAGGCAAAACCTGGAGACATTTTAAAAGGAGACTGCTGCAGCCTGGCAAGCTTTCCACCACACCCAGAGGCACAGGGCCACAGACTCCTGGAGGAATCATTTGGGGCCCTACTTAGAGGTAGTAGGAATCTGGAGGAGGCGCTGAGGTCCAAGCCTCCCCTGTTGGCTGTCACTGGCCCACGGGCAGAAGTGCTTGTGGCAGGGAGGGGAAAGTGCCTCATTATTTGATGAGACTGAGGCTGGCCCCAGTGGAAGTTTCCTTGAATAGGCCAGCCTTGGTATCAGTTGTAGAGCTACGTTTACATGACCAGTGGTGCCCTCTTCTACGTCTTGTGCATGAACTTATTTTAGTGAAGAGACGGATAAGGGCTGTGTTGTCTTTGGTGCAGCGCAGCAGTTTCGGGCCAAATGTCCCTCATCTCCACAGTGCAAACAGCCTGCTTTTCCCCTTCCTCCTGCCTGTGGATGAATAACCTAACAGCTCTGCTGAGGCAGCTCCCTGTACACGTGAGGGGCCAATATCTGCACAGACTGAATCATCTCAGGCAGAGTAGCCCACTTTTTGTGGGCTCTTAGGGCTTGTTTATGCCACTGATTTGCATTTTCGAAGGCCAGCTGTTGAACTATTAATTTGCTAGCTTCTTTGTCACTTACAAACCTCTCACTAGCTTGCGATAAACATGCAGAAAAATTGCGAAAAGGTTCATCAGGGCCCTGAAGAATGGAAGCCAATGAAGGGGTGCCTCACCCTTGAAGGAAGTTCCCTCCAGGCGCTCGCGGCAGCTGTCTTCGTTTGCTCATATGTTTGAGCAAAGGTCAGCTGGTTGTGCTAGCAAAAGCACCCGCCCAAGTTACAGATGTTCTTTATTTTCATTCAACTTTGTTTTAATGGGTCTCAAAATTCTGTGACAGACTTTTGGTCAGTTTGTTTCCATTAAAAAGTATTGATTTTAAAAACTAGTAACTTAAAAACTGCCCCCCCAAAATGGTCTACAAAACATTCCTCTTTCCTTCTGAAGGTTTTACGATGCATTGTTATCATTAACCAGTCTTTTACTATTAAACTTAAATGGCCAATTGGGAAAAACATTTCTGAGACTGGTCTTTGATTAAGACTGGGGTGTCAGGGGTCAGGGATAATATTCATCGAGCCTTCTGAGCTTTCTGGCAGACTTGGTGACTGACCTTGCCAGCTCCAGCAGCCTTCTTGTCCACAGACACCCACAGCAACTGTCTGTCTCATCATGAACAGCAAAACGACCCAGAGGTGGGTAGTCAAAGAAGCTCTCGACATACATGGACTTGCCTGGAACCATGTCAACAATGGCAGCATCAGCAGTTATCAAAAATTTGAGCCCATCTTCCAGCTTCTTACCAGGCCGGCGATTGGTCTTTTCTTTCAGCTCAGCAAACTTGCAAGCAGTGTGAGCTGTGTGACAATCCAAGACAGGGACACAGCCAGCACTGATCTGGCCAGGATGGCTCAGAATATCTGAGCAGTGGAACCAGCTGCTTCCATTGGTGGGTCATTTTTGCTGTCACTAGCTACATTGCCATGCCAGACATCTTTGACAGACTTGTTCTTGATGTTCAAGCCCACATTGTCCCCAGGAAGAGCTTCACTCAAAGCTTCATGGTGCATTTCAACAGACTTGACTTCAGCTGTGACAATCACTGGCCCACAGGGACAGTGTCAATACCACCAATTTTGTAGACATCCTGGAGGGGTGTCGCAAAG